GATTAAAGATGAGGATGGAGATGGAGATGGGAGGATGATAATGAAGAATAGGATGGAGGCGATGTCCTCGTCCACGTGGTCTTTGTTCGAACAGGGAGCAGGAGGAAGCCAGCAGATCGGATCCAGGCGTGGGTTCCACACACAACACGGTCTAGAATAGCGTTGCGGTGGGGTGTTCCAGGGAGCCCGAAAGTGGCTGGCGATAGAAGGCCCTCGTCTCCGACAGCGAAAGTGGTTGCTGTCCTCGTGGATGTACAGGCCCGAGATGGTGGCGGGCGTAGGCCGTGTAGGGGACACGTACCAAAAAGGATGGTTGCAAGAGTGATTTCGGGGGAACCAAGAGGCTGATGCGCTGTGTTGTGTGTGCTTATATTGACTTCCCAGAGGAGGCGCGTCCATGACGTCCTCCTTGTGCGTCTCTGTGGACAAACCCCTTCACAACAGACATTTTTCAAAGGAAACACACAGGAGTGATGCAAATGATCATAACACATGTACAAACACACACCGCATTTCATTACTTGACATTGATACACCCATGTAAGGTCTGTAACGGTTATCAAAATAATATCACCGAGTAATGTCCTTTTCGAGTGTCCGCCTCGGGTGTGATGGTGTCCAGTATCCACTGGGGGGCGCCAGAACGCCGTGGGTGAATCCCGGCGTTTGTGGAATGTTCCATGGGCGACAATGGTTGATTGGTATCAGACCTCTGTTGGCCAACAGGGCACGCAGATGGTTGTGCTGCTGTTTTATTGCTCCTCCTGGCCTCCCAATGACCCGTAGGTTGTTTGAAGTGTCAGGGGCTTGGGAGGGCATGTTTACGAAAGGGGGAATAGTCCTCCATTTGACCCCTTTTTATGTCTTGGATGTAGCTCTGGGATGGACATTCCCAGATCGCATGTTTACTTTATCCGCATACTGGTTAACGTCTTCCATGGGGCCGTGTTTGCTGAGTCGTGCCCTCTTTGTCACCTTACACTTTCATGATTGTGAAATTTGTATTTTCACTACGATGCATCCTCTGAAATAATGATGCACCACATGACCACTCTGCTATAAGTAGTCCGCTTCAAATTTAACTTAAATTTTGTTGTGTTCAGGCAATTGTAGAAATGCAGTAACTAAATCTGCTTTACAGGTGTTCACATGCCTGCATTACAGCACTTTGTTTGATATCGGTCATGTCACAGGCTGGAGTTCACATGGCCCTTTATTTCAGTTTTTGCTGAGGTTTTTGAAGTCTGAAAATAGGTGCTCCAATATTTTGATGAATAAATCCTGCACGTAATTACCGTGAATGATGTATCGCGGTTCATTGTGTTGCAACAAAACTTCTCCTCACAGAGCAAATATCAAGCAGTCCTTCCTCGTTGACAATGAAAGCAAATTTTTCCATCTATTCTTCCTTGAAATCTCGGTTCTTATCAACTCTTTCTTAGTTTAGCTGTTTAGCTTTGGGATCCATGCAGACCCACGTTTCACCCTTGCACACGCTAGTATGTCTACTACAGCAGCCGCCTGGCGTACGCTATGATGCAAATCTACCTTGACAGAAATATTGAAATTGAATATTTCTTATGCACATTTTTACAGCATTGAAAAACATGTTTTTCCTCCTACATAAAAACACAAAAAACAAAACATGATAAACCCCTCCCCACCATTTTCAGACATTTTTGAAGAGGCTCCAAGAGCCATTGAAGGAACACTAAAAAGCCACGGGTTGCAGATATAGGCATGTTGCTGTTTCCTCTGGCGTCTGCACACGGCCCTGTAGTCCCTTTTATGGGCATTAATGGGCGGTTACCTATGCTTAGTACCTATGCTAATGAATCACCTGGCACGCGAGCTCAACTTACGAGGAGTTGGCATTCATCAATCTGAGAGAACAGCTGCAAACAATTCAGCGCCCTTACGAGCGCGTTGATAAGTCCCGCGTAGGGTCTTCTTAGAAATCTACTTGAGAACGACTTGAGAAGAAATTTAGGAAGATTCTTAAGATATTGGTGAATGAGGCCCAATCTTCGTAAAATCCTCGTAAGTAGGATTTACGAGTGAATGAGGCCCAATGGGAACAAAAAAGCAATTATTTGTTCCCAAGAGTTTTTTAAGATATAAAAATTAAACAAATTTAGTTCCATTTCTGTAGATTTTTGGCAGATAAAAGAATAGTTCTTAATAAATACTTGTCTGCTGTTGTTTTAACATCTGGGGTGTCTTTAACTAAATGTTTCTGACACACATGTATGAATCTGTTACCAGAAGGGCATCTCTTTTGGGCATACCCAGAATAGATGATGATTGGCCTCCTGGCTGCCACACAGTCTCCAACAGCCCATTCCTAAATTTAGGTGGCTTTTTTCTCTCCAAGTTGTTGAAAGGGGAAATTTAATTTTCCTTTGTATTTTGCAAATTAGATCCCAGTCCTCATCACCCACACCCAAGCCCATCTCCATTTCCCACTTTTAACATATGAAGTATTTTTAGATGCATTTTCTTGAAGACCCTGGTAAAGCCTTGAAATAACTTTTGTAATCATATTAGTGTTATATGGCAAATTAAATACTGTCAATAAAAAAAGCTATAACTTTTTCCTTATTGGCACATATGATCTCAGTAAACCGGTTCCTCATTTGTAGTTACCTAAACCTCATTCTTTCTGAAAATGTGAAGCATCCTGATGCTGCTGACTACATTATGTACTACACAAATGACTTATCCAAGAACCAAGTGTGATTATAGCTTCTCATTTTATTTTCTTATTAACTATTGTCTTCAGTTATAGATCATGTCTGATGTGTGCATAATCTGAGTCTCTTATTTCTCCTTTTGTCCTGCTGTAATGTGTGCAACTATAACAGTGAAAGGTTTCACTCTACCCGGTTTGCGGGAAGAGTGGAGTCGAGTCTCTATATCCGCTACCCGGTACTTTTTTAGTAATGACTTGGCCCTGGTTCTAGCCGGGCTGAGTAGATACCAAACAATCTGACGTCGGCGAACGTCAACTCTGATTGGTCAGAGGCGCTGTCAATCACTCTTCAATCATGACAAACAACACGTTGCTTCAACCCATAAAGATGACCGTCTGGAAAACAATTCGCTCGATGCGGTCGACACCTTCCTCAGTTTCAGGAGAGGACACCAGCGTGAGCTCGATGGTGCCACCCGAAATGAGAAAGTGTTTGTGGAGGTAGCACTAAGGATGGAGGAGGGCTATCCATGGACATCATCACAGTGCAGAGAAAAGTTAAAGCTGCACTAACTGATTTTGAGACATTTTCAAATGCAGCGCTGGCCTTGCTCTCTCTGCTCGCCCTCCCCGCACCCACGGAGCTTTCGCCCCCCACTACCCCCTCCCCCTCAGCCTGTGTTCATGTACTGTTAGCTTTGGAGCTAGCGTCTCACAATATGGAACAATATTGCACTTTTGCACGTGGATGGCGTGACCATAGAATGATAGAACCGGGAAGAACGACACTTTCTTTTGGATGTCTGTTTCGCTGTGTAAGCAGTAACGAAGACACGGGAAGTTTCAGGTTAGCCTCCGCCGCTTGTTTGCCTCAGCTGTCCGTGCTAACGAGAGACCTGTGGCTTTTCTCAAGAAAGCGGAGGCCAGTGGTCTGCTGTGATTGGTCACAATCGGGACCCAAAACACATTCTCTTCCTTGTTTCATGAAAACTCAATAAAAAATAAAATGACACGCCAGCACAAACCTGCGCTGCTTATTCTGGGCGGCACGGTGGCTGAGTGGACAGCCCTCTCGCCTCTCAGCAAGAAGGTCCTGGGTTCGAATCCTGGTCGGACCAGGGCCTTTCTGAGTGGAGTTTGCATGTTCTCCCCGTGTCTGCGTAGGTTTCCTCCGGGTACTCCGGTTTTCCCTACCACTAAAAACATGCACAATAGATCTGGCAGGTGCCTCTTGTACTGGCGCCCCTGCTCCTATCTCTGTGTGGAGTGAGAGACAAATGCCCAAAAATAACAATTGTAAACCGGTTTGAGACTCTGGTCTGCGGTGAAAAATATAAATATTCTTCAAAAGGACGAATATCCCAATGCTGTGCATGGATATGTATTGCATTTTCGTAATGAATACGAAAATAAAGTCAGTTAGTGCAGCTTTAAGAAGCTTAAAAGGGACTACAGTGAAATGAAAGATCACAGCAGCAAAAGTGGGCAGAACCAAAAAGTCTGGAGATGGTTCGACAAAATGGATACAATTTACGAACACCGGCTAACACGTTAGCATCAGCTACACCGGGAGAGAAGCCTCAGCTCTGCCTTGTCCCCACTCCAGATGTTGAGTTTGAGAGAAATAGTGAGTATGTCTTCAATCAAATGCATTGGATCTTATACTGAACGTGTGTCTGTGTGGTTCTAAAGTCTAAAACAGCTAAAGTGGCGTTGTGTCATATCTATATCTTTTACTAAACGTAGTTAGAGAGTGAATAGAGAGTGAATGAGAGCCCTAAAGAACATCTCCGGCTTTGGATAGAGTGCCAGAGGAACAGCAGATGGAGACCAGCACCGGGCGGACGAATTTAACCAGCACTTCAACCGGTTTGATTCTCCCCCCTCTCCATCTGCCCCCCCTCCCGCCCCCACCTCTTCACACGTCCCCAGCCCAGTGGACACCGCCCAGTGGACACTGCCTCCGGCTGCCCCGGGCCCTCCTGCCCCCGCATCCCCAGTCCCCACCTCGGACAGTACATCCCAGTCCCCCCCCCTCTCCATCACACCGGACCAGGTGAGGAGTCAGCTCCAGCGCCTGAAGCTGAGGAAATCCGCAGGACCGGACGGGATCAGTCCCAGGCTGCTGAGGACCTGTGCAGACCAGCTCTCTGGGGTCCTCAGCTACATGTACAACCTGAGCCTCAGCCTGGAGAAGGTCCCTGTCCTGTGGAAGACCTCCTGTGTGATCCCGGTCCCAAAAACAGCACACGCCAAGGAACCGGCTCACTACAGACCAGTCGCACTGACCTCCCACCTGATGAAGACAATGGAGCGGCTCATCCTCACCCATCTCCGCTCCGTGGTCAGCCCCACCCTGGACCCGCTGCAGTTCGCCTACAGACCCAACATCAGAGTAGAGGACGCCGTCATCTACTTCCTGCAGCGGACGCTCTCCCACCTGGAGCCCGCCGGGAGCGCTGTGAGGGTCATGTTTTTCGACTTCTCCAGCGCTTTCAATACCATCAGGCCGGCACTGCTGCGGGGGAAGATGGAGGACGCGGGAGTGGACAGTAGCCTCACTGCATGGACCATCAACTACCTCTCAGACCGACCACAGTACGTGCGGCTGCGCAGCTGTGAGTCTGAGGTGGTCGTCTGCAGCACTGGGGCCCCTCAGGGCACTGTCCTCTCACCGTTTCCCTTCACCATCTACACCTCAGACTTCACACACGACACACACAGCTGTCACCTGCAGAAGTTCTCCGACGACTCCGCCATCGTGGGCTGTGTGTCTGAGGGGAACGAACTGGAATATCGGTCGGTTATCAAGGACTTTGTCGACTGGTGTGAGCGCAACCACTTGTGCTTGAACACCAGTAAGACCAAGGAGATGGTCATCGACTTCAGGAGAAAACCACTTTCCCACACGCTGCTGAACATCCAGGGGGAGGACATTGAGCTGGTGGACAGCTTCAAGTACCTGGGTGTTCACATTAACAATAAACTGGACTGGTCCCATAATACAAACGCCCTGCACAAGAAGGGCCAAAGTCGCCTCTTCCTTCTGAGGAGGCTGAGGTCCTTCGGAGTGAGCAGGCCTCTGCTCAGGACTTTTTATGACTCTGTGGTAGCTTCTGCCATTTACTACGCTGCCGTGTGCTGGGCCCCGGGCAGCACAGAGCGGGACAGAAACAGACTGAACAAGCTGGTCAGGAGGGCCAGCTCCACTCTGGGCTGCTCCCTGGACTCTGTGGAGGAGGTGAGGGACAGGAGGGTGCTAGCCAAAGCCACTTCCATCATGAACAATACCTCCCACCCACTGCACAGGACTGTAGAGGAGCTGAGGAGCTCCTTCAGTGGAAGACTGAGGCACCCTCAGTGTAGGAAGGAGCGCTACCGCAGGGCCTTTATCCCCACCGCTGTCAGACTGTACAATAAGTCACTTTAAATGATCACTGTGTGAAACCCTGCACTACTATTGACACTGTTTCCAATTGACACTTCTCACTTTTGTTGTACATAATTGTCACTTTATTGTACATATATCCTGCATGTAACTTGTTTGCACATTTCCTCCCTTTGCACAATCTGAGTGTCTCTATCCATGCCAAATGTGACATGTAAATTTCTCCTCTGTGAGATAAATAAAGCAATCTTATCTTATCTTATCTTAATCATGGATTCATGGTTCAATAAAGACAGTCGTTATGTGGTTGGTTAGTGCTTGAAAGCACTAATTTCGGGTGGAACCATCATGCTCACACTGGTGTCCTCTCCTCAAAATGAGGAAGGTGTTGACTGAAAAAAAAATTGGCTCTTAGTATCTGACTGGTTTGCCACCCCTGGTCTAGAGCTACACGTGGAGAAATTCGACACACCGACATTATTCGACACCGAGACATTATTTGAAAACTCTTGATTCTGAATGAATAGTTTAGGGGACGTTACTCATAAACGTCTTTAATGTTGTTTTTTCTCGTGCAGTATCTAACCAAAGGATGCGAGACCACAGAGATGACACTGCGGAGAAACGGCCTGGGGCAGCTGGGGTTCCATGTGAACTTTGAGGGCATCGTGGCCGAGGTAACTGACCACAGACCGTGTAGCTGTCCTCAGACCAGTGGAGCTGACCTCAGATGAGTCTGTAACTGAGATGACAAACCCCAGACCAGTGTGACTGACCACAGACCATTGTAACTGCCCCTAGACCTGTGTGACCGAGGTAACAGACCCCAGAAAATTGCAGAACCTTTTCACGCTGGTCACATGATCTGTGGTTACAGGTGGAGCCGTACGGGTATGCATGGCAGGCCGGGCTGAGGCAAGGCAGCCGTCTGGTGGAGATCTGTAAGGTGTCTGTGGCCTCGCTGACACACGAGCAGATGATTGACCTGCTAAGGACCTCTGTCGCCGTCAGAGTGGTTATCATCCCCCCACACGAGGATGCCACTCCACGCAGGTCAGAACAGCAGTATTGCTGTCGCTTGACTGCAATACTGTCACTTGCACATCAGTGTGGAATACCCCCGGAACAGCCAATCGGCTCTCCATAGTGACTGACACCTGTGTACAATAGTTCAACTGGGAGCCACTGGGTGACCTCACTGCAGCCTGTACACCCAATGAGACTCAAAACCACTTCAGACTATGTGGCTATCAAAGCTGGGGTTTCTGCTTTTTTTGCCCATAAATTATACTTTGTGTTTGTCCATCAGAAAGAGTCTTGAACATAAACTAAACCACAAAAACCGCTATCCATTCCGTGGATTATCAAAACTCCGACAAGTTTTGGTCAGGTGCATGCAGACAGGCCTCAAAGCTCCAACCTGAGGATGCCTGCATTACTCACCATGGGTAAAAAAAAAAAATCTATTACGCATGCGTTCTATGGAGGAACACAGTTATGTAAAAGAACCACGGAGGACCACAGTTATGTAAAAGAACAATCATAAAAAATAATTACGCAAAAGTCAACATCGCAGACCACACGCACCGAAAGATGAGGCACATTGTGTAGTTTGTGTATAACAGACTCGCACGTGAACAATACGTAACTGTCTTCACACTGACAATAATGAGAACGAGCCAGAATCTGCAACACAGGTCTTAAGTCCAACAACTGTCTCAAGTTTCAAATAAACTCATTCAGCCTCAAATAAACCACACAGAATCCCCACAAAATAATTGCCAGAATACTTTTGCAGCGGTGTGAGTGAATTTTCTGTTTTCTTTCCGTGATGCAGATAGGGCCCTGTGGCTAACGCTAATTGTAACAGGAGCTTTTAGCCATGTCCATCAGAGAAGCAGGACATGCACAAAGCCGCGGCTTTGTGTACAACACAGTGTTTGAAAAACTAAATATTATAATAGATCCAATGTAAAACTCAGTGCAGCCTCTGTGCAGTGGGTGCCGCTTCAGAACGCGGTCTTATTTAGATGTCTGCCTCCACGCGACTGTCAGTTGAGGAGCACTGTCAAAGACGAAATATTGTCTTTCTACTGGCTTTTGTAGTACCCTCGACTGCAATATATGCTCTCAACACTAGACGGCAGTAAAAACCACACAGTGTAACTTTTAAGTTACTTTCTAAGTAAGTAAGTTACTTTCTTACTAAGTAAGTAACAAACAAAAGTTACCACTTGGAAATTGTTTTGGCAGAGAGCATGCCACTTCGCCATTTGCCTTGAGGGGGACAATTTATATGCAATGTAGCAGGTCAAAAGCAAGGCAGATGTACTATAAATCCAATTAAACCGAATTGTGGTGCCCTCAGTAACCTCCGTTCACAGGGGCTTATCCATGCGGGGTCAGAGTTCAAGCCTGACAATGTCATTCAACCGCATCTCAAGGCCCCGTCCCAATTCTCACCCTTGCCCTTAGGTGTGAGTACCCTCACCAGCAAAGTGCCTTCCCAGTGGGGAGTGCACTCATAACATTCTCCTTAAGAATTGGGACACCCCTAGATCTAGGGGACAATATGCAAATGACGCAGCAGACGTGTTCCACGTCACACACATTATCAATGTCTGATTTCACCACAGATAAGATCTGACACAGATATGACTTTATGAAACAATATTTACTAAAATGAGACGTTTTTAATTCTATTTCATATGAAGATTTGCTTTAATTAGGCACAGAACTGATGCACATCACGCACTCAGAGACAGACGCACACAGACACGCATATGTACACACACAGAGCCAGACACACGCACACACAGACACACATGTACACACACAGAGGCAGACACACGCACACAGAGACAGGCACATACACGTACGCGCACAGATACAGTGCCTTGCGAAAGTATTGAACCTTTCAACATTTCGCCACATTTCAGGCTTCAAACATAAAGATATACAAATTAAATTTTTTGTCAAGAATCAACAAAAAGTGGGACACAATCGTCAAGTGGAAAGGAATTTATTGGATAATTTAAACTTTATTAACAAATGAAAAACTGAAAAGTGGGGCGTGCAATATTATTCGGCCCCCTTGCGCTAATACTTTGTAGCGCCACCTTTTGCAGCAATTACAGATGCAAGTTGCTTGGGGTATGTCTCTATCAGTTTTGCACATCGAGAGACTGGAATTCTTTCCCATTCTTCCTTGCAAAACAGCTCGAGCTCATTGAGGTTAGATGGAGAGCGTTTGTGAACAGCAGTCTTCAGCTCATTCCACAGATTCTCGATTGGATTCAGGTCTGGACTTTGACTTGGCCATTCTAACACCTGGATATGTCTATTTGTGAACCATTCCATTGTAGATTTGGCTTTGTTTTTTATCATTGTCCTGTTGGAAGATAAATCTCCGTCCCAGTCTCAGGTCTTTTGCAGACTCCAACAGGTTTTCTTCCAGAATGGTCCTGTATTTGGCTCCTTCCATCTTCCCATCAATTTTAGCCATCTTCCCTGTCCCTGCTGAAGAAAAGCAGGCCCAAACCATGATGCTGCCACCACCATGTCTGACAGTGGGGATGGTGTGTTCAGGGTGATGAGCTGTGTTGCTTTTACGCCAAACATATAGTTTTGCATTGTGGCCAAAAAGTTCAATTTTGGTTTCATCTGACCAGAGCACCTTCTTCCACATGTTTGGTGTGTCTCCCAGGTGGCTTGTGGCAAACTTTAAACGAGACTTTTATGGATATCGTTGAGAAATGGCTTTCTTCTTGCCACTCTTCCATAAAGGCCAGATTTGTTCAGTGCACGACTGATTGTTGTCCTGTATGTACCACACACGGGTCCCGCGGATCACAAAGCAAACAGTCAAAGCGATGCTCTGAACTACATCATGGATCTATAATAATTAGGGCTGTCAAACGATAAAAAATTTTTAGTTGATTAATCGCATAGTAATGGTGAGTTAACTCACGATTAATCGCATTTTTAACATTTTATTTCAAATCCACTCCAATTGAAATTAAATGAGATGTAATGACACATTGTTATTCATACCAAATGTACTTAAATCTTTTTGACTTGCTCACAACCTTCTACTTTTGGGTACAACCAACAAGAGCTGTTAATGAAAGGGAAAATGTAGGTACCCCAGCTTTGATTTTGCGAGTTTGGTTACATTTCAGCGCGTCTCCTCCTCTCCTCCGTGTGTCACACAACATCAGAGAATGGCCCCTGTGCGTGTATATATATGCGTGTATTATATGACCACGTTACCGCTGTCACCATCACACACGCAAGTGTCTGCGGCATTCTGAGTGATATTATTATAAATGGGCGGGTCATTCGGACATGCTGCCAACCTATTTCAGAACAGGTACTCTCATATTGCCAGCCGTTTCTGATGATTTTTACTGAATTTTCAAGACCCACAGAATATTGGGTACTATGACTATCTGAAATCCAGATTCTGAAAGAATGGACTGTCTACTTTCATCAGCTAAAATTATTTTGTTTCTAGCTTGTTTCGTTCCCCTGTAATCCCCAGTCGAGTAGAGGTAAGTTTTATTGAAATCACCAGAAAGTGCATCTAGCTGTTTTCAAACCATTCATAGAGCAATGCTGCCATCTGCTGGCTCGATAAAATATTGCCTCAAGCCTTACATATTTGATACAACAGACATCTGGGAACGTGAAAATAGCGGGAAACGCAAGTGACGTGTTAACACGTCAATGGCAGTTAATGCGTTAATTATTTTTTAACGCGTTAATGAAAACGGTAATTAACGTGAATTAACGCGATAATTTTGACATCCCTAATAATAATAACATGCACCACGTCTCTGAAGCCTCAGTGAACGCCACTCACTGTAGCCGCTTCGGGAGCGAACGTCACTGCACGGGACCAACACACGCTTTAAAAACTAACTCGCACACGCTTTGGAGCTTGCTCATGTTCCGCACAAACTTGTGCGCAGGTGTTTAATGTTGTTTTCTTTCATTGTGGCGCGGCTTTGCCCGACTGCTGCTTAACCAACAGCTATCGTAATGCATGATGGGATCACCCTCGCTCGCAAGTGAGCTCCGGACCTCACTTGCACTCAAGGGTGTTTTTTAGGGGCAAGGGTGAGAATTGGGATGGGGCCTCTCAAGTGTCTTATGTGCTTCAAGTGAGCGCATTGCAAGATCTTTAAGCAATTGTTCCACAAGTACAACTCTCCGTTGTCCAGTCACGGCGCTCTCAACCACCATCCGGGTCAACTCCTTGTACATCTCCTTAATTTTGTTGGACAGCAGGTCGTGAATTTTATGAGCTGCCATGCCTCCAAATTTGCGGTATAAAGGGGTGCTCCAAACCCGAAAAGGAGGATCCCAACCACCAGAATTCCAAAGATATATATGTCTTCCGAATTTTTGATAGACGGGGGCGACAGGCATAACGGGTTCCACTTGTTCCAGCTGTCAAGAGTATAACCCGCAGGTGCCGTCCCGTCTGGGCAGGAAGGCTCCCCCGGTCCTCGCTTACTTGTTGAAAAAATAGTGTCAATTGCGTTGAGGGACCAGTTAATGATATCCATAATTCTTGTTGGAGTTGTCTGTGGCAAAACTCCAGGAAAAAGACAAAAACAAGAACAAAACAAAACAGGAAACAAACAAAAACAAGCGGTCAGAAGCAGGAGCGGTCTGAAGACACGTCTGTGCTTGACGGAGGCGGAAGGAAGCCGTGGATAAAGAAATGTCCCCTATAAATAGGATGGGGTCACTAATAGACATCATGATTTCCAATGTATTTGATAAAGCGTTGCCATATTTAATTTCAAAATGAATTTAAAAATTGGCTCAATTACTATAACCAATGAAATGATTAAATACATCAATATGACGGACATATGACTGGAATGTTGTATTTTATTAAACTTCACCAAAGAAGGCAACACCAGCGTGCGTTCATGTCGGCACTGAATGCGTAAGAGTGCTCCTGAGAAATGTTCATGAATGCCTCATTCTTCGTAAAATCCTCGTAAGTAGGATTTACGCACACATTTGTTCGTAAGAACCGTTCGTGAATGAGGCCCAATGTAAATATTGACTAATTCAGAGTCAAAATGCTCTCTCTACAGCAGCGGTGTCAAACTCGCATACAGAGTGGGCCAAAATTTTAAACTGAACATAGCCGCTGGGCCAACGTTGAACAAGTTAAATTCACTTTTAATTGGGACCCAAACAAGTTTTGCATTGAATATTGAACAAGCAAGGCTTATATAACTTTATAGTGACATTCAAAATCAAGTTTCAAATAATAAAGCCGCAAGCGGCGTCAAACGGCCCTCACCGCACCGCACAAAGGAGGTGCCGCCGCTGCGCCATGATTTGCTTCTGGAGCCATAGAACGTTTGAACATTTTTTATGAATATGATCAGTTGGTTTGGCTCCCCATGTAAAACTTTGGCTCAGGCTGTAGGGGGCACTAAAGAGAAAGGTAGAACAACAGAGTCAAGTTTAGTACGAATCAGACTTTGTATGTGTAAACAGGAGCAAAAGTATAACCTATGAGTGTATCCATATATGTACATTCTCCATTGGTTGACCATGTAACTAATCAAAATTGATGGTGCATGTGTTCAGATGATGTGGAAACATTTTCAGCCAAATCAGTGAAACTTAAGAGAGTGGTTTGTGCGAGGTGTACATTTGCCATTGACAAAGAATGGGGTACGTTTGTCATCGCCACAGCAATAGGCTAAAAAATAAGTCTTAGGTCTCATTGTCTTTTTTTATCACCGCACCGCGCAAAGGAGGTCGCGCCATCTTCCTACAGCCCTGATGGGAGCGACACTGTGCATTTTGAATGCCTATGATCAGTGATTGTGTCTGATTTTGCCATTGACACATAATGGGGAGTGTTTGTTGTCCCCACAGAAATAAAGTAAAAAATAAGCCATGGGTCTAATTGAGTTTTTGAATCAGGATGGCAAAACAGAATTATGTTCAACATTTCAAACATTTTGAGAGAACTATCTCTCTGCCCATGTAAAACTTGTCTGTAGGGGGCGCTAATGCTGCAATTTCATGTTTTACACTTTCAGTTTACCCAAACTCCGAGAGTTGAACAATCAATTCAAATTTTGTGCAAATTGGACTTTCCATGTGCAAATGAAGGGCATTTACTTTATTTTTAATATAATTGCGTTTTATTTTTAGTCTTATACCAAAGTAACACCAAGATTCTCCGCCAGAGAGATCTTTAGATCGAATGCTCCAATCACGAGCCCGCTCCTCCTATAAATAGCCCTGTTCAGGCCTGCACCTGCCACTCTGGCGCAGAGAGATCACTCTACTTCTACACGGAAGAATCAAGATGTCGCTGCCTTCTGCTACTCGTCAGAGTTTCCCTTCGCCTTCCGGCGTCGGACGATGAAGGTAAGCGTTACGGAGCTAGGTTTCACCACAGAGACCAGCCCTTTCGGTGCTTCCCCCTGCTTCCCCCGCCTGGACTGACGCCATTTTACGGGGAGCGCTGTCTGTGAAGCGCGCCTTTCTCTCCCCAGGGAAGTGAGACGGCGCAGCGATGCATACACCAGCACCGCGGAGGCTCTCCCAGACTGCTCCCAGGGAAGGAGCCTGAGTGGCGTTCGCCCCCCTCTCGACGTGCCTCACACGTGAGTGGGGAGAATGGTGTCTGGTAGACAGAGCACAGAGACGTCTCTCTCCCGCTTCACTCTGGAGACTGCTTCTCGCGCGAGGCGCTGGGAAATCCCCCTCCCACCGCAACCCACTCTGGCAGAGAGAGAGAGTACTCCGGAGCGGGGGAGAAGGAGGCTCGAGCCTACGCTGTGCCCACGTATGGACCAGGTGCTCCACTACGCCACACGTGGCTGGCCCAACAACCCCTGGGGTCAAGAAACCCGCCCTTGGGTAGGGCCCGTACTGTACGGTCCGAGACTGGTCTTGGTCCAGCGGAGTCCCTGACATCGAGGACGCGGTGAGGCTGGCACTCGGTCTGCCCTTCTCCAGCGAGACCCCGGGGCTCGGAGCAGGCCTCCGGTGGTGCTCGGGAGCAACGCTTTCAACGCCGTCCTCCCCACAGTGGGGGGGGACGGGGAGGCAGGGGGTTTTTCAATAAAAGGAGAGATAACCTCTATTTAATGTGAGTCTCCTCTGTTGATGCATGACATGCCTTCACAGGTAGAAGGTAGTGTTGTCTCGCTTACAGCTCAGTCCCACTTTGTTGAGAGAGGCTTGCAGCAGTGATAGTGTTTGGGCACGTGCCGTCGCGTGCAGTCAGTTACGAGTAATGGTTGGGAAGCAATAGGCCCTTACCCCAGTTGGGGCTCGGGCTTAAAAAATAAGGAATTTTTCTGAAAGTCTTAACAATATAGCTTTCAATGGCATATTATACATCATTTTAAAGCGCTTAAAATGATGTATAAACACAACGTGAAGGTTGTGTTTATGCACACAACCTTCACGTTTTGGTGAGTGACGGGCACTGACGCGTCCGTCACGCACGCGACCCCTTGCATTCACCATTGTGAAAGCAATGGGCCCTACCCAGTGTGGGAGGGTCCCAGCTCAAAAGTGGCCAAAATGACGTGCGCTGACATGCTTGCAATACCACCCCGGGCCGATGGGGGTGGACCCAGAAGTAGAATTAGCCAATGCTAACATATAGCATTGGCAGACCTCTCAAAAAACGTCTTTATAGGATGGACCAAAAGTTGGCTCTTGGCCCAAAGCTCCGTTCCACATGTGTGTCAATGCTGAGGGGGGTGGATTTTTTTGGTCCACTCTAGTTTACTTGCTGTGAATTTTTTTAGTCTCTCGTTCAAATGAATGGAGTTGCGCCGGCTGACGGATGCGCAGATGCGTTTTTTCACAATTTTCTTGTGGGCGGGACCACTCGCGGCCATTTTGGATTGCTCCAGTAGAGCACATTTTTTGGCCCATTAGTTAGAACGGCGGAGATAGGCGTGACTCTGTCCGTTAATATATACAGTCTATGGCCCTACCCCATTTGGGGCTCGGGCCTAATAATTATTATTGTAATAATTGTACATTATTAATGGCATATCAAATAACATTTTATGAAAAAATTATGTTTTTCTATTTGCAGCCTTCTGAGGTAAATATCAAAATAAACTTTTTACACAGGCTAATAATACATTTGAAAATAAAATGGCAATGAATAAATCAAACATTCAAGCCTTGAAGTAGCAAGAGAAAGTGCATTAATAATTGCTCAGTTTGCTACACTGATTTGCTTTAACATTGAATATGAAACAACACTTGTTCTTAATATAAAATCTTAATAGTGCAAAATCAACTTTCAAAAAAAATACATAAAAAAACATCTGACATTATAAATAAAATGTAAACAAAATGGAATGCCTCTTTTCTATTTGCAGCCTTCTGAGGTAAATATCAACACTAAATTTTTCCCCAGGCTAATACATTTGAAAATAAAATAACAATGAATTTTGTCCCTTTCATTCAGGCCTTTTTACTGCTCAGTTTGCGACACACTGATTCATTAATGTCGGGGTTCAGGCTTTGAGCTGAGGCAACCTTCATAATTGAACAAAGGGGTTCATCAGTCAGACGTATCCTGTGAGACGCTTTTGTCATCTTTATTGAGGAGTAAAGTTGCTCACATAGATAAGTGCTGTCGAACATGAAGAGAGCATGGCTGGCGTGGCAAAACATCAGCAGAGCATTATGGGATTTGTAGTATTAGCAGTGAATGCGGCACCACCGCTGTATAATACTGGCGGGCCAGCTCTAATGTTAATTTGCCTCAAGGGCCAAATGAAATTACAGAGTGGCCAGAGTTTGACACCCATGCTCTACAGGGTGAGCTGCTCTATCTCTAAAGGGTTAGTTTCTCTCTCCTCAAGGTTAGCTTCTCTCTCTACACGGTTAGCTTGTCTCTTCTCAGGGTTAGCTTCTCTCTCTCCACAGGGGCTGCTCGGAGCTCTGCAGGGGGCCCATGAGTGACTACAAAAGCAGCAGTAACGACAGCGGATCCTTCGAGTACAAGTTCCCCTTCCGCAGCAACAACAACAAGTGGCAGCGGACGTCCAGCAGCCCTCAGCAGTCGCTTACCGCCTCCCCCCAGCCGCACACCCCCAATCGGGCCATAAGCCTGGGCAGCTCTGTGGGAAAGACCCTGTCAGCGGAGCGACTGGAGAGGGGAGCTGCCATCCCTCGCAGCGTCAGCAGCGACGGGCGGCCCCTAGACCCCAAGAGGTAGACATGGACTAAAGAGAAAGAGAAGCACAGGGACTGGAGACGTGGCCGAATGCAAAGAGAAGTGCAGGGACTGTAGACATAGACAAATATGTTATGGGATAGGACTGGGACATTTGGACTGGCACAGTATGTTGATGAAGAATTATTGAAGATTGCGGACAGATATAATCTTTGTCTAGATCCTACATTATTGTTACATTAGAGAATCCATTACCTCTGGATCCCCTGAAAGGCCCTGGTTGAAGTGGTTGTATGTATTTTATATCAGTGGTTTCTTCAGAATTTGGGAGCCCTAACTATTTCCCCTGAGCTCCACTGTCTCCCCTCTCCTGTCTGCTTTATGCTTTCTCCTCTCTGCTTTTTCTCTCTGCTCTCTACCCTCTCCTCTCCCAAGTGTCTTCTCTCTTTCTCTGCTCTTGCTCTCTGATCCCTCTCTGATCTCTTCTCTCTGCTCTCTGTGTGGACTAAGACCTGGTTCAAGACCTGGTGTTCCCTTTGGATTGTTGCAGGATGTCCCCAGGCAGTGAGGGTTACAGTTTGGCCTCTTCTCTGGCTCTGGGCCGGTCCCCACACAACCGCAGCTCTCCCAGCAACCTATCCTGCTCCAGCGAGGCCTCTGGGAGCTCCGCCCACTGGAGACAGAAGTCCATGCCCGAGCAGTGAGTGCATGCACTACCCCTGTCCATCTCCAATATTTTCAATATCTGTATTTGTACAATTTCCCCGCTTTGGTCTATGTAAGAAAGAAGCTTCTGTATGGAAGTAGTTGTCCAAGCTAAGAGTCTCTATTTAGGGTTAGACACCTAATCACAATGTTGGTGAGTGCAATCCGCAAAGAACTGCAAATATTTAACACCCTTTCAAATAATAGAGTTGGGGAAAATATCTTATGGGAACAGTAGTTATTTTGTGGAGTTTAAAAGTTATCTTTGTGTCTGCATGGGTTCCTTCCGGATGCTCCGGTACAATAGGTCTGAGTGTCATGAGTGGAGGTGATAGTCGGAGGCTTCTGTTAAGGGTTATTGTATGGACACTGGCAACGTTTTGAACACTCTGCTCTAATCGCATGTTTCCACTTTATTAGTAACTGATCATCAGGGTCAGGGTCCCCTTAGTATGAGATCAGGGTCCCCTCAGTCTGGGGTCAGGGTCCCCTCAGTCATTTCTGTTTCATCTTTGTCCTTCCTGTCTTGTAACTTTCTTTTGTGCTTTTTTCAGGTTTGCAGGTAATCTTTACTTTCCCATCTTCTCCAAGAGAAACTAGAGGGGAGCTGTTGGATTGGTTTAAAGCAGAAGAGATCTAAAAGGCTCAATGAAGGAATGTGTCAGAACTGCAGCTGTGTGTTTGTTGCTGTGTGTGTTGTACAGTATGTCTGCAGCTGTGTGTGGGTTGCGTTGTGTCTGATGCTGTGTGTGTTGTGTGTCTGTTGCTGTGTCTCTGGTTAGAGCCAACACAAAAAGCAGTAGACACACATCAAACGGTTTACAGTACACAAGTTATCTTCATAAAAAAAAGTGATAATATATTATTAAATAAACATTGTTCAATATTTATATATGTAGGGGATTTATACCTTACTAAAACAGAGAATAGCGCTAAGGCTTGCGTTCATAGATGTGTGCGTGATCTAAGAATAAATTCATTAGACCCAGTTAATAAGGAAGGATTTACCTTGAATAAACGGGGCACCAGTCTAAACGAACGATTTAACAGACTAATTATAATTAGTTTCAGTAGTTTCATGTTAGTCTCAGAATCTAAAAGCATGCTTTCTAACTATCAGATTTCTAGACTTTGTAACAGACAAATCAGACTGAAATCATGTCTCAACCATTGTGCATTCACTGTATTATCTGTCCCAAACCGCACTGGGTGCGTTGGTCCATTATTGGCCCCAGAGGGCAGTAGAGTACTGTCCTAGGGTTAGTCTCTGTTCCCTGGTTACCTCTGCCTCCTTAAGAGGTGTGACTGCGTACCGTCTCTTGCCCCCCAGGGGTCGGCGTGGGTTATTTCTTTTAATCCAGTCGGAACAAAGGAGTGAAGCCTTTGACCCGGTGCCATATCTGCAGGGATGATGCCTATCTTAAGATGGAAGTAGAGGGCGATGGCTGGCACTCCAGATGTGGTGGCTCCATGGTTGCTTCTGGGTGTTTTAGATAGATACTTTATTGAACCCCCGTAGGAGAAATTCAGGTGTCCAGCAGCAGAAGACTCATCCAGGTTTGTTGTCTGACAGCCGAAAGAACAAAGGATCTCTTGAAACGCTCCGTTTGACAGCGCAGTGATAGAAGCCTGTTGCTTCAATTACTCCTCTGAGCGGCCATAGTGTCATACAGAGGGTGTCTTGAGTTAACCAGGATGCCCTGCATTAGAGCCCTCATCCTTCTCTCCAGCACAGCTCCCACAGAGTCCACACTTCTCCCCATCACAGAGACACACTTCCTGATCAGCCTGTAGAGCCGGTTACTGTCTCTTGAGGTCAGAGTGCCGCCCCAACACGCAACCCCAAAGAACACGGCACTAACTACCACAAACTGGTAAAAAATGTGGAACATTTGACTGCTCACATCAAAGGACCTCAGTCTACTCAGAAAGAAAAGTCTGCTCTGACCTTTCTTGTAGATGGCATTGGTCTGAGCTGACCAGTCCAGTCTGTGTTCCAGGTGGACTCCCAGATTTGTATAGGAGTGAACCACTTTGATGTCCTGTCCATTTACTCTGACCGGTTGATAGGAAGGGCTCCTGGGACAGTTGATAAGGCAAGGCAAGGCAAGGCAAGTTTATTTATATAGCACAATTCATACACAAGGCAATTCAAAGTGCTGAACAAAATAAAGCATTAAAATCATAAGCTAAAAATATAAAATCCCTCAGTTGTATGCACAGCTAAACAGAACTGTCTTTAACCTGGTTTTAAACATGGTCATTGAGGAGGCCTGTCTCACATATTCAGGAAGACTTCCAGATTTTAGCAGCATGAATCTGAAAAGCAGCCTCCCCATGTTTAGTTCTGACTCTGGGCACTAACAGGAGTCCAGTCCCTGTGCTCCTCAGGGTCCGGGCTGGTTCGTATGATACTAACATGTCACTAAATTGAAATTTCCCCACTGTGGGACGAATAAAGGAATTCTTATCTTATCTTAATATATTTTGGTGCGAGGCCATGGAGAGACTTGTACACAAGCAGAGCTGTGATGTCTATTCTCTGAGCCACAGGAAGCCAGTGCAGAGACCTGAGGACTGGACAAATGTGGTCGTACTTCCTGGTTCTAGTCAGGACTCGAGCTGCTGCATTTTGAATGTACTGCAGCTGTTTTACAGCCTGTTTGGACAGACCTGTGAGCAGGCCATTGCAGTAGTCTAACCTACTGGAGACAAATGCATGGATAAGAATCTCCAAGTCTGCTTTAGACACTATGTTTTTGATCCTGGCAATGTTTTTTAGATGGTAAAAAGCTGCTGATGTTACTGATTTGATGTGGCTATTAAAATGTAAGTCTGAGTCCAGTATTACCCTTAGAATTCTGACCTTGTTTGAAGGTTTTAGGGAGAGAGACTGTAGGTGACAGATGACGCTCTCTTTGTTTCTGGAGACCAAAAACAAAAAAAAATCGTTTCAGTTTTGTCTGCGTTTAGCTGAAGGAAGTTGTTTTGCATTCACTCACTGATCTGTTGGATACGGTGAAGGAGTGAGTCCACTGGTCCATGTTCTCCTGCAGTCAGTGAGACATAGATCTGATTGTCGTCTGCATAGTTGTGATTGGACACTTTGTTTCTGCGTATTAACTGACCTAACGGCAGCATGTAGAGATTGAACAGAAGAGGTCCCAGGATTGACCCTTGTGGTACTCCACAGGTCAGGGCCATATGATCTGAGACAGTTTCCAATCTCCACAAAGTACTTCCTGTCCTCAAGGTAAGACCTAAACTAACTTAGGGCGGTGCCAGCGACGCCAACCCAGTCCTCTAATCTCTGTAAGAGGATTTCATGGCCGACGGTGTCAAAGGCAGCACTCAGATCTAACAAGATTAAGATTGAGACTTTTCCGGTGTCAGTGTTCAGCCGGATATCGTTTGTAACCTTAACGAGAGCAGTCTCAGTGCTGTGGTGGGGTCTAAAGCCGGACTGAAACATATCAAATGAGTTGTTGATTATAAGAAATCTAGTAAGCTGTAGGTAGACATCTTTCTCAAGGACTTTCCCCATAAATGGCAGATTTGAGATGGGACGATAGTTGCCGTAGCATCCAGACTGCTCTTTTTTAGCAAGGGCCTGATGACTGCAGTTTTCAGGGCCTTTGGGAATATTCCAGAATGAAGGGACATGTTTACTATCTGTGTGAGTGAAGGTAACAGACTGCTCAGAACAGACTTCAGAAATCTAGTGGGTAGTACATCCAGGCTGCATGTGGAGGAGCTCAAACTGGAGATTATCTCTTGGACAGTTTGATCATTTACAGGTAGCTCAGAGAGCCTTTTTGGCTGTTGGATGGTTATCTGTGGATTGGAGACAATGGCGTTTTTGATGCCTTGAACCTTGTCATTGAAAAAATTAGCAAAATCATTGCATTTACGTTTGGAAGTAAGCTCTAATGGCATTTGAACAGGGGGGTTTGTTAATCTATTAACTGTTGAGAACAGAACACGCAGATTGTTGCTGCAGCCTTCAATCATTTCAAAAAAATACCTTTCTCTCGTACTACGTAGCACCCGGTTAAACTCGCACAACTTATCTTTGAAGATCTCATAATCAACCTGGAGGTTGGACTTGCGCCACTTCCGCTCGGCCCTCCGGCACTTTCTCTTTTGTGCCCTGACCGAGTCTATTTTAACTTTCACAGGGGCAACGGTATCCAGAACATTCAAAACACTAGAGGTGACAGAGTTAAACAGTTCATCTACAGTAGAACACAATGCATTCTCAAAGTTTATCATTCCCATAAATAGATCACTCGTATTTTCATTTATGCGCCTTCTTCGAACAGTTGCAGAGTCCACTGGTGGTTTGTTAGTGAAACACATGTCAAGAAAAACACAGAAATGATCCGAAAGAGCAAAATCGACCACGTTTACATTTGAAATATTCACCCCCTTAGTAACTAACATTTCTAGAGTGTGCCCTCTGCTGTGGGTGGGGTCACGTGAGATCAAAGGATTCAAGTACAGAACTCTGCTCTTTTGCATTTCTGTCATCAACATTATCCACATGAATATTAAAATCACCTGTAATAACCAAACTATCAATCTGTGCATACAACTGAAAGCAACAAAATTATCAATAAAACTGTGACATGACTGCGGTAGCTTGTATAGGACAATGAAGAGTATTGGAGGAGATTCATCTCTTTGGTCTTGGACACATTGAGAATCAGTTAATTTCTATCACTCGAGTCTGAGAAGGCAGCCACAACCTCCCTGTACTCTGCTTTTTCCACCCCCTTCACACATGTCACAACAGCGGTATCGTCCGATTATTTTTGTCCATGGCATGTAGCAGAGCTGTGTGCAAAGTCTGCAGTGTAAATTGTGAAGAGGAAGGGAGCCAGAACGGTACCCTGTGGTGCTCCCGTTTTGCTTACAACAGTCCCAGACACTCTCTTCCCTAACCTGACATACTGTGACTGTGGTAAATATGGGATCAAATCTCCCTCAGTAAGAGAGGCTGGATGGTGTTAACCCTTTAAGTGCCAAAGTCGCAATATTGCGACAAGCAACATTGCTCACTTAAACAGGCTGTATGTAAAAATGTGGTGCAGAATCTTGTTAATTCTTTTCACCAGGGGTTAGTGGACATGTGTGCCTGTAATATGAGCAGCATTTGTGGGTGTGGTTATTTTGAAAGTTTTTGAGTCAATTGAGTTCGTAAAACACCTGCGGCGCGGAGGCGAAGCAGCAGCGGTAGAGCTGAGAGGAGCGAGAGCAGAGCAGAGGGAGAGAGTGTTTTTTCTTTTACTCACTAGGTCTTCAGTACCAGAGAAGTACTTGGTCTGGTACTGGCTCACTCAGATTCAGAGGAGGAAGACACGCAGGTGTCCAGTGAAGCAGACACGGACATTATTGGTGACGGGGAGACCGCGGGGGAGCCGCGGGGAAAAAACACATCGCTAATTGCATTCACTGCCTTTACCAACAGCAGTGATGAGAATGAAGGCAGTTCTTGAGAGAAAATAATCCACAAAAGTGGATCAGAAGTGTTGAAGAGCCTGTTGTTTCTTTTTGAGACGATCTGACATGTTCTGTGCCCATTCATTTCCTCTCTCTGT